AATAATAATTAGCAATAACAATAATTGGCAATAGTAATGTTTAGCAGTTAATTACCAATTAGCAGTAATTAGCAGTTTTTTTGCTCATTTGATAAAACACAAATCCGAAATGGAAAATACAAAAGAAATAAAATTATTTTGAATGAAGTAAAAGATGAAATTTCCTCGAAATTTTGGAAAAATGTATGTGTATGAAACCGAAATTTTGGCAGTAAGAATTAAATATCAAAATAAAAAGGTCAAAAAATTAAATTAATGAAAATCGGTAATTATTGAAATTTAAAAAATGAAAAATTTAAACTTCGTGAAGTTGAAAAATGGAAAATAATACCTAATATGCATTGTTTATACGCGAAGATTCACGGTTATTTCTTATTCGGATTATTCACATAATTCAAATCTGCAATTAATTAAATGTGCATTAATTAAATTAATTAAATACTTAATGCATTAAGTGAATTATATACGGTCAAAAGTATTGCAAGTATCTCATAGATCAATCAGTCGATTAGCTGATATAGAATAGTCAACTGATAAGCTATTTAATGTTAAAGAATAGACCAATTGATTGACTAACTGATAAAATTGTCACCAACTAATGTTGACGAACAAATTAGGTGAAATGAGTAGCTGGTAGGAATTATCATCATCAAGTGCCTAAAAACAGTTCAATCGACTGATAAATTAATGAAAACAGAATTTATGTTCAAAATTAGTTTGTTCATTATTCAGTTAACAAATTTTTTTACTTTAATTTGAAAATATTATGATTTGATGTGTCAACAACAGTTGTCAAATAGTTGAAGGAAAAAAAGAAAATAGCAACAAATATTTCAAATTTTGAGTGACATTAAATAAAGTTATGTAACACTAAAAGATTTCAAAATTACTATAATGTTTTTCATTTTTCAAAGAATTTATATGCCATTTTTTTTCGCTTCTCTTTCTTTCCTTTTTTTTTTGTTTTCGTCCTATTTAAATTATAATATTTCTAAAAGGTTTTATTATTCTTGCAAAAAGGAAATCAGTAATCCTTATTATGAATAATAATAATGGCATTATTGTAAATAATAATAATAATATTTTTTGCTAATAAGTTAGTAATCCTTTAAAATATCAAAATTATCAATAAAAATGCGTTTATTGAATAAAGAATAAAAGAAGAAAGAGAGAATGAAATTGCATAAATTATTTTGCTTTTGGATGCAGCAAAAAGAACGAAGAAAATTAAATGGTTAAAAAATCTGACATTGAAAATTGAAAATTTAGTAATGTAAAATAAAATATGATGTAAAATTTAAAACCGATAAAAAGATTGAAAATGATTTATTAGTGGAAAATATTATTTAAATTATAGCTTTGCAAAAAAAAAAAAACTTTTTCTTCTTGTTTTAATTTTTTCGTTTAAAAACGAAAACAAAAATGATAGTAATTTTGAATTTTAATTAAAAATTTCAAATTTAATAAAAGGAAATATTTTTCATATTTATCAAAAATTTTCAGTCAGAATTTTACACATTGGCACGGTTTATCTTTTTGATGATAGCATCATTTATTGCATGGCTTGGTACCTGCGGTAATTTACTTTTAGTATATATTTTTATGACACGAACTTATCCAACATCAACAACATATCCTACTGGTAAAATATATTTCATCATTAAGTTTTGGACTTCTTTTTTTTTTTTGAAACTATAGTTTACTTTTTCATTTCTTAATTGGATTTAATTAGGTGATTATTTACAAAAGTGAGTGACTGTGACTATTTATTTACTTTTTTTTTTTTTACAGTATTGGCAATTCTTGATACATTAATTTGTATTCTTTACATTATGCTATTTGGAATTGATGCAGCAATTGTTTATCTTAAAGCTTCAGTAAGTTCTCTTCGTTAATAATAATTAATCAATTAACGATGATAATTCGATAAACATTAATTAAATATACATGTATGCTTTGAAGTAATTAATGCAGTAATTAATGCAATATTCAAATGATAACAATTTGCTATCAATATGAAGGATTAAGCATTTTAGCATTTAGCAGCTAATTTAAAAAATATTTTTCTAACAATCAGTAAAAATTAGCATTATCAAAATTAGCATAGGAAAAATTGGAATAAATTATATGGAATATTAAATGTTAGTGCTAAATATTAGTTTAAATGATTGTTTTAAATTTTCATTCAAATGATTATTTTAAATGTTAATTAAGATAGTTACTTTAAATGTCATTTTAAATTTTAAAAAATGTTAATATTTTTCAGAATTTATTTATATTATATCATATTTACATTGTACCAGCATTTGTTATAAGCAGAATAACACAACTAGCTATTCCATATATGCTAATTTTAACGACATTGGAACGTTTTGTATGGATATCAGGCCAAAAAACTACGAAATTTTTAAAACGAATGTTCAGTGATCGAGGTCATCAAATTACCATCTTTCTTCTGCTACTTTGTTGTATCATTTCACGTCTACCAACAGCATTTGCTATCGTAGTACGTCTTTTTATACCTTTTTTTAAATCATATATTTATCTATCTAACCATTTATCCAAGGTTAATTAATAAAATAGCATGATTAAAATTTGATTATGAAATCATTTTTATTTTAATTTTATTATTTTCAACTTATCATCAACAATACGATGTTAATGTAATCATTTATGGAACAAATAAGACCTTAATTAAATAAGCTTTTGCAAAAAATGTTTCTAATATTTGATATCTTAAACGATATTAAATAATGTATCGGTTGTTCTTATAAATCCAGTATTATTTTAACGATACATTATGTTTAATCAACTTCTTTTCAAACTTCTGGAACGATATATTTCATATATTTTTTTGCATAAATTAGTTATTCCGATGTTGCAGTAGAATTTTCAAATCAAATCTAGTATTAACATATGAAATATTTAACTATCTGAAATTTAAGTACTAACAACAAATTACACCTTATCATTCTTTATCAACTATGAATAACATTTATTAGTTTTTGATTCCTTATCAAGTTTATTTATATTTAACAATGTTTATTCATGCTGAGATAATATTTATAAATAGTATTTACTATTATGGTTATGAATTTTTTATTCAATGATAAAAAATTACCATTGAACAAAAAGTAATTAGTGGTTAAAAATCAGATTACATCACTTTTCTTCCTTTTCTCGTTTTTTTTTTTTTTGTACTTTTTTTTTCCCTATTACTACTATTATATTATCATATTGCTTTAGTAAAGAAGCTAATAAGCAGCTTCTCCTTTTATTTCACAAAGTAATTCGGAAAAACAAAAAAAAAGTTCATCGCTTCCCATATTAGGTACGTCATTTTCCGAATTGTGATGATTTTTTGCGGACACAAAGTACTGGACCAGCTGATTGGGTACATGAAAGTAAAGTTTATTACTTCTTCGATTTCCATCTGTTATCAGTTGCTCAAACATTTATTCCATTTATCATCCTTGTTGTGTTTAATTTTGTAAGTTTTTTTAAGGATATCATTTCTTTCCCTTTTTTTTTCCTGAAACTATCAGATATCATGTAAATACTGAAATTCAATATTTCTAAAAGTTCATCCTTTTTTAAAGTTATCTAAAACCAAATTGAAGTGTTTTTTTTTGTTTTTCATTGTTGTAATCCATTGAATTTATGTTACTGTAATCCATTAAATTTAAAAACTAATTTTTGAAAAATCACATAAACATCCAGAAATTTTGTAGATTATTATTCGAAAATTACCAAAACAAAGTTCGGATGAACAAAGGAATAGCATAAAAGAAATAAATCAGGAAAATGGACACTATTTATTAAATCAGAATTTTACCTCAAGTCATCAACAATTCCAACAAGAGCAAAATCACGTTTCCATTTCAAATGCTTTATTTGAATTTGGTCAATCTAGTCGTAAAGCTTCAACACTCGAATATAAATCGAAATCACCAAGTATCATATTGAGTTCAAAGTTCAAAAAATGTGGTGATTTTTTATACGAAAGGAAAAGTGAAAGTAAGCTATTATTCTGCGGATAATATAGATAAATCAAGGTAATAGATAATAGAATTATATAGGTAAAGATAATAGTTATATAATAATTTTCATAATGAAATCAATATTAACGCATTGTATTGAGAAAGACATAATGCATCAAATTACTGCAAAAAAGAAAATTGAAACAAAAAATTAATAAATTTATAGATATAATGTTAAAATGAATTATTTTATGCCATATTTATTATTTGCATATAATAGAATCTTAAAAATTATGCTTTGAAAAAATTTAAGTGCGAAGTTTGACTAAGAAACTACACTTAAAACTGGACAAATTTAATTAATGTAAAATTGATTTAAGTAAAGTCTTAAAAAAAATAACATATAACTAACTAATTCGGAGCAATATTTTAATTATGTGTAATGACTTTATAAGACTTTGAGTTGAAAAAAATTATTTTAAAGAGGTTTTTGAAAGTGATAGTAAAAAAAAATCCTTTTTTCAGTATCCATTATGATGACCAAACCATTACTTAAGATGTCCACTCCGGTTCGTGATGCTGTTTGTACGATGTTTGCCATTGTTACTAGTTATCTGATAAGTAACAGTCTTCATCTGATACTAACAATCTTAGAAAGGTTTCATTTCTATTCATTGTTTTAATTTTGCAAAATTTAAATAATATAAAATTGATTTGATAAATAATTTTGCTCGTTTTTTTTGCGGAATTAAAATGCTTCATCCTTTTTAGATCTCAAATTTCAATACTTCGTGATCCGGATGACCCAATGATGGCAAGTACATTCCATACTGTTTTTTCGGATACAGTCAGTTTTGTTTATATGTTTACAAGCGCAATTCGTATAATCATTTACATGTATAATCCGGCGATACGTTCACATCTGAAAGATTTTCTACCTTGCAATTATCAATATCGGAAAAAAAAATCATCATCAACTATTTCTGTATCGATTTAACTACTTCTATTCAGTTGTTACACCTAGGAACTATTTCGTTATGTTTGCTTGTTTTGTTTTGGTATTGATAAAATTTGAAATTGTCGATAATTTCATTTACCATTCCGTTTTTATATATGATTGTATATTTGTTTTATCAAAAAATCTCTTATAAAATTTAAATATGTCATGACAGAATACAACCAAAGTATATAAACAGATAAGCACTTTGTATTCAGGCGACCTTAAATTTAAATAGTTCAATAATCGGAAAAGAGAGGAGAAGAAAAAAAAACGAATGTCATTTATTTCATTAGTAATACGTTTTCTCTACGGAAATCCCCTTATCGCGGAGGAGAAGCATGCGTGCTTTATGAGATCACGAGCTATGTTGGCAATGACATATACTTCCGGTAGAATTTGCCATGTGAGCAAGTCACAACTGAAGGATGAGACAAAGTATATCCACTGATAAGATGGGTTCTTCAGCCTCCTGGGAATTATCCTAGGGAAAGGACAACTCCAAACCCAAGCAGATGAAGGAACTCGCTTAATCCTTAACCCTGTAAGGCAATCCATCTAAGCAAAGGATACTATGAAAAAAACTACATCCTAAGAACTTCGCTCTCACCGTCCAAATTTTTCAGGCCCCTAGCAGATGAGCCATAGGAGCAAAAGGTGAGACCAGTTCCGCTCACGCTATGCCTTATCTAAAAAATTCACTGCGCAGGCTCAAAGGATACATCTATATTTGTAGCGTTAGTAACAGGAGTGAGTAGTTGAGTCCTTTCCAAATCTTCATTTGTG